TCCCCCCACTCGCACATGCTCTCTCTCGCTCTCTCAAATAAATAAATAAAATCTTTAAAAAAAATCTACATCACATGCAGGTGTGGGCAGGTGTTGTGAACTAGGAGAACAAGGGTGTGCATGTTGGGGTGGTGAAAGGTGCCTGTCTTCACTCGGGTGAAAGTGAATTCTTCTTCGAAGACTTGGCTCCTGAGTTAGGAGCTGAAGGATGGGCGGGTTGAACGGTCGGGGTGTGTCTAAACAAGCTCGAGTTGCTTACGCTGTTAGGGGCCCAGCAGCACAAGAGGGTGGTGGGGGCGTGTGGGTCCAGTTCCCACAGGTCCTACTTCTCACATGCAGGAAACCGTACTTGGTTTCTACCCTACAGGTTGTGGGGAGTGCGGAGTGGCAGGGGAGTGACGTAGATAGATTTCCACCTTTTAAATTTTTTTTATTTTTTATTTATTTATGATAGTCACAGAGAGAGAGAGAGGGCAGAGACATAGGCAGAGGGAGAAGCAGGCTCCATGCACCAGGAGCCCGATGTGGGATTCGATCCCGGGTCTCCAGGATCGCGCCCTGGGCCAAAGGCAGGCGCCAAACCGCTGTGCCACCCAGGGATCCCAGATTTCCACCTTTTAAAGGTAACTAAGGAAGAAAACTTTTGCCCAGATAGGGCCCAAACTCTTTGTGGCTGAGACAGTAGATGGGAGACAGTTGCTGCAGAGCAAGGGAGAAGCCTCACGGACCTGACCGGGTGGCACACGCACATGCGCGCAGAGGCCAACAGGTGCCAGGCTGAACCAACCCGGCCAAGTGGGAAGTGGCTGCAGCCCCTGCGGGGACGCGTTGTGCCCTGTGTTAGGAGCCACCACAACCTCGGCCAGAAGAACGTCCTTGAAATCTCCTCAGACAACAGGTTTGCAAGTGGCTGATTCTCTTGGCTTTTGTTTATCTACAAAGAAAAAAAAAAGGATTTTGAATTCACTGGGCTTTCTTCTGCTCAATTTTGCTGTGAACCCAGAACTGTTCTAAACATAAATAAATAAAATCCATGTTTTATTTTTATTTTTTAAAAAGAGTTTATTTATTTATTCATGAGAGATGCAGAGAGAGAGGCAGAGACACAGGCAGAGGGAGAAGCAGGCTCCCTGCAGGGAGCCCGACGTGGGACTCAATCCCAGGATCCCGGGATCCCGGGATCATGACCTGAGCCAAAGGCAGATGCTAAACCACTGAGCCCCCAGGTGTCCCCAAGTCCATGTTTTAAAAGAGGTTTCTGCCTCTATCATTGAGGGATACTCTCGCTGAGTATAGAATTCTGACTTTATAATTTCTTTCAGAACCTAAAAATCGTCTCTCTGTTCCTTCCAGCGTGCACCATTGCAGCAAGAAGTCAGCTGTGTTGCCCCATCCACGGTGACTCCAGCTGCGGTAAGACTTCTTCCGATTGCTTGTTTTCAACAATGTGATCGTGCTTTGCCTGGATGTGGTTCTCTTTGTATTTATCTTGCTTGGAGTTTTTTGAGCCTCTAAGATCTATGGGTTTATGTTTTTCATCAAGTTTCCCCACAAAATTGTCCATTGTTTCTTCAAATACTTTTTCTCTCCTCTCCGGCTGGCACGCCAATTGCATGTCTGTTAGACCCCTTGATGCAGTCTCCGCAGCCACTGAGGTTCTGCTCATTTATTTTCATCCCCCTTTCTCACTCTGCTTCAGTCTGGAGAATTTATATTTCGATGGCTTCAGATAAATTAGCTGTTTCTTCCAGTAAAAATAAATAAATAAATAAATAAATAAATAAATAAATAAATAAATAAATAAAATTTTTTTCTGGAAAACTTTTTTGTGCGTGTTTTTATTTTATGTCTGGAATTTCATATTGTTCATTTCTAGTTTCTTTTTTAAAAAAATATTTTATTTATTCATTCATGAGAGCCACAGAGAAAGAGGCAGAGACATACACAGGCAGAGGGAGAAACAGGCTCCATGCAGGGAGCCCAATGCAGGACTTGATCCAGGGACCTCAGGATCATGCCCTGGGCTGAAGGCAGATGCTCAACTGCTGAGCCACCCAGGGGTCCCTCATTTCTAGTTTCTATTCACCATTCAGATTTTAAATTTTAATGCAGCTCCTAGGTCTACTTCCATTCACTGGTCTTTCTTATGATGATGGGTCATGTTTTCTTGCTTCTTCACACATCCAGTGATGTGTTGTTTTGAACACATCGTGGATGCAACGTCGTGTGTCTGGGTTTTATTGTCAGCCTTAATAAAATGCTGAGCTTTGTTCTGCTGGGCAGTTAATTTACTCACCAGGTAGATCTGATTCTTTTAAGGCCTGTTTGAAGTTCTGCCAAAATAGGCATGCGGTGCCTTCCCTCTGGGACTTGATCAAGCCTACTTTTATGGCATACTGTGAACTGAAAGTTTGTGTACCCCTAAAATTGGTCTGTGAAGATCCTAACACGGAATATGATTGTATTTGGAGGTGGGACCTTTGGGAGGGATAGTCTGGTACCAGTTTCTCCATTATAGTCAGAAGCAGAGGTCCAGGCGGGTGGTGATATCTAAGGAAGTTCCCATTTTGTTGCTTTCTGTTTTCTCTGTGAACTGATAGACAATATCACCCCCAGATGCAGAATGGAAGTGAGAGGGGGTGGAGAAGGGTAGCTTCGAAGAAAAATTGCAATGCCAGTGAGTGCCAGGATCCATCTGAGATCCTGCGTGGACAGGGGCCACAATCGGCAGCATGAGTCCAGGGAGCTCAGCTGGAAGAGAGGGCCTGGAGACAGTAAGCATATGGGTGCAGTGCTGGGCACCAGGACAATGGATGGAGCAGATAGAGTGGGGATGGTGGGGACCTGCCTGGGAAGGAGGGAGGGAGGGAGGGAGGGAGGGGGGGCATCACGGTGCTCACACAGGGAAAGAGAGGGATGGAGGGAGTGAAGGGCCTTGGGATTTGAAGAACAGGTGTGGTGGGAGGAACAGAGAAAATCTTAGAACTTTAGGACATCCTGGGGCACCTGGGTGGCTCAGTGGTTGAGCGTCTGCCTTCAGCTTGGGTTGTGATCCTAGGGTCCTGTGATCGAGTCCCATGTCGGGCTCCCCACAGGGAGCCTGCTTCTCCCTCTGCCTGAGTCTCTGCTTCTCTCTGTGTGTTTCTCATGAATAAATAAATAAAATATTTATAAAGAAGCTTAGGAAGTCCTGAACAGAAAGGATGTTAGCATGTCTTATTTCTGAGTGTGGTCATGGAGGACGTGTAGCAGACCTGGAATAGGGTGTGATGTTTCTATAGATGAGGAGGAAACGAAAACCCAGGTGACTAGGCATTTGGGTGAGCTGTCCACTGGAATGCAGAAGCCAGCAGGATGTTGCTAAGTCTTGGGGTGACAAGGGACACAGAGAACCCAGTGCTAAAATCCTGAACAGAAGTGACAGGCTGAAGGTCAGGAGATGACAGTAGGGACAGTAGGGCAGGGCCGCGGGAAGTGGTGCAGTTCACACAGCCCGCATCTCCGAGGAGCATGGTTTTGGCATGCACGTGGAGACACGGGGGTGTGAGGCCAGCGTCCAGCCCCCTGGCCTGAGCCCACGTGACGCAAGTCACGGAGGTTGTGCTATGCACAGCTCCCCACTCAGGTAGGGCGCCGCTGATCCTGGACATATTGTATCTATTATCATGATCTCCCCTCAGCGCCAAGTAACTTGTCTTGAAGCAAATGAGCCATTTTCTAACTTGTACAAAAGCACCATGTGGGCGGAGAAGGGAGTGGGGGAGCTGAGCACCTCTCCTGGGATGAGCACAAGGGAAGCGAGTCCAGGAAGGCGCTGGCTTCTGCCAGTACCGGGGACGGTGAGAGATGGAAGGGCTTGGCCTGGATGGGCAAGTTCTGCAGGTCTCCTGGAAGGGCCGAGATGGGGGCAGTGGGAAGAAGTGGGTAGCGGTTCAGGGAGACAAAGCAGAGTGGGGACATGATGGTCCCTCGGGGCCCTTATGTCTTGCTGGTGATCAAGGGTGGTGGGGACATGGGACGGGGAAAGCTGAGTTTGCGAGGTTTCGAGGAATCTGGTGGTTGCCCGGTGGTGGGTCAGGGGCCTGGTCTGGAGGGACTGGAAGGGGTCAAGCAGAAACCCTGGAGCACAAGGCCCGCCTTCTGAACCCTAAGAACTCTGGGATTTGGATTCTGTGTGTCTCTGGGTCCCTGGCTGCTCAACCCACGATTCCCAGATGGGTGCCCTCCTACAAGGCCTCAGCCAGTGGGGGCTCGTGGCCTCCCTTTGCTCCAAATCTTGTCCCTTGGGGTGCCTCCGTCTCCCTTCTCCCCTCTCCCTCGGTCCCACCCACGGACTCTCTTCCCTGGAGCACGGGACCCCTGCACAGGGGCAGGCTTATGTCTCTAGGAAACACACAGAGCTCCCACGGAAGAAAAATAGGCATTTCAGGGGTGCCGAAAACAGCTGGTGATTTTTACACACCAGCCTCTCGTCCATGGGGAGCAGCCCCTGCCCAAGCAGGAGACAAGGAGACAGAAGACCAGAGGCTGGCAGAGGCATCGTGCTGCCCTCGAGGTGGGCTCTTCCCTAGGCCTCCGGCTGGCTCCCTCATTTTCCCCAGTAATCTTGGACCTAATATTTAAAAAAAAAAAATCATGCGATAACCATGTACTTTATCAGGAGACATACATAGCTTATCCCTTCCTGGGTGTGACCCTGAGGGTGCCCAGTGCCAGAAGTGCATGTGGCCGGTTTTCCACGTCGGCATCCTGGCGTGACCTGGCTCGCGGCCCCGGGGGGCAGGGGGAGGCCTGGCAGCAAGGCAGCCCCTGCCGGAAGCCTCGCCTGCAGGTACGGCCGCTCTGTCCCCTGCCCATCGGCCTATCTCGGCTCCTTTTCCTAACAAAGGACCCGAGGGGTTGGTGCCACAGGGGACACAGAAAAGTTATTTGCGTTTGCTGAGCAAACAGAGAGGACATTATAAAACGCCCGATGGCAGTGGGCAGTGCACCTTCTGCAGGCGGCCCTGGCGCGCAGCATGGACATGGGACCTCGAGGCATCCAGCTGCTGGCGGTGCTCCTCGCCCTGGGGCTGTGTGCCCCGGCGGGGGCCCAGAAACCTTGTAAGTGAGCCCCCGTGAGTCGCCCCATGCGGCTCAGCGTCCTTGACCCAGCAACAGGACAACGGGCCCACGAGCCCAGGGAAACCGCAAACGCAGTGGGGTACGCGGGTCCCTGGCTTTCTACGGTGCCCCCCTGGCCCTGCGTGGGTCTCGGCTCTTGTTTGCCTTCCTCAGAGTCACAGGGCGGAATGATGGGTTCACCTGAGAGCAGAAGCAGCTCAAAAGGCATCCTGACACCTGTGATGTGTGCTGAGGGGCATTGGTGCCCCCTTCCCTGCCTTTTGTGGGGGGCGTCCCCAGGGCTGGGAGAGGCCTCCTTCCTGGCAAAGGTCAAAGCAGCCACAGGTGCTGGGGGCCAGCTGGGTAGGGGGGGCTGAGGAAGGAGGCCCCCAGGGCACCTGGAGCCCACCTTGGTCACCTTTCATCTTGACTCTTCTTAGGCCCACTGCCTTTCCTAAAGTTTTTCCCTTATTTATTTATTATTATTATTATTATTATTATTATTATTTTAAGTAGTCATTTCTGGGAAGCCCTGTTCGCTCCTCAGGACATTGCATAGTTCAAATCCGGGCAAGAGGAGACTTTGCCGTTTCCCGGCATGGCCGCAGGGCCCGGGGAGATGTCCGGACATGGCCCCGGGAGCAAGTGGGGAGCGCGAGTGGGGACGGGCTGACCAGGGCTCTCTCCCCAGCCGCCTGCCAGTGCTCGCGGATCGAGGCCTCCCACAGGAAGAACTGTGGCTTCCCGGGCATCAGCGCCGCCGAGTGCTTCAACACGGGGTGCTGCTTCGACTCCAGAGTCCCCAACGTCCCCTGGTGTTTCCATCCCCTCCCGAAGCAAGGTAACCGGCGCCCGGCCCGCCCGAAGGGCCCCCCTGTCCACCCCTGGAGCCCCCCCAGGGCCAGCCCTACCTGCCCCCCCTCCTGCGCACACTTGCGAGAACCCGTCAGTTTTACTGTTAGAAGGAAGGACAGCTCCCGGGCCTCTCCTGGCTGCTGGGGAGCTGCTGGGGGACAGGAAGGCAGTCCCTGGGACATTATCCACCCAACTGCCCACCAGCCTCCAATGGTAGGAGACCCACTTAGGGCTTCCAGGGTTTTCTTCCGAGAACGAGTTTCACGGCGGCGCACCCCAGCCAGATAGAAGGGCGTTCGTCGCGAGGTGCGCGGGGAAGGAAGTTGCATGTGCAGAGCACGCGGCGCCTACGGAACTCAGCGCCCACGGCCGCCCGTCCACGCCCGCCAGTGACTGTGGGTCACAGGCTCCCGGGGCTCCGAAGGGGACGAGACAGACGGGTGGTTACGAGGCAGGGCTTCTTCTCTGGTGGAGGCATTGCTGGCTTCCAGGGCTCTAGCAAAATGCATCACCTGTTTAAAGGATGCTCACCGGCCTGTGCTCAGCAGGGTATGGGGGTCACCCCATTTTACAGACGGGAATATCGGGTCCAGAGAGCTGATTTTCCCAAGGCCCCGGAGCCTCTGGCCTGTGGCATCTGTGCAGATCCAAGGGTGGCCAGCCGCTGGCTAAGGACCTTTAGACAGTCCTTGGAGGTGGTATACAGTGGCACCTCGCAACACGCTGAGGCTGCAGCTCGGTGGCACCCGCGTGCGAGGACAGGAATAGAGGTGCCAATTCCCGAGCTGCGCTAACTGAGTTTCCCTGTTGCTCCTTTCCTGGTGCCTGGGGACGCGTGGCCAGAGTTGGAGCAGTGTGTCATGGAAGTGGCGGCCCGCAAGAACTGTGGGTACCCGGGCATCAGCCCCCAGGAGTGTGCGTCTCGCAACTGCTGCTTCTCCGACACCATCCGCAACGTGCCCTGGTGCTTCTTCCCAATCCTCAATCAAGGTAACGTCCGTGCAAGACGGGGTGGGGTGGGGGGGTTGGGAGCCGGGCCCGGCCGACTCCAGGCCAGACCCCCGAGCGCAGCGGGGATCGTTTCAGGAGAAAGCAGCTCCAAGGGTGACTCTCCACAGTGACAGCAGCTTTGGGATGAGCTGAAAGCCACCAGGGTTCCCACTGGGGCTTGTGTGACAGCTGCAGACAGCAAGTCACCTCAGCCACGCCCCTGGGTCCCGGCCCAGCTGCCGGTGCTGCCCAGGCGACTGTCACGCAGCCCCTGGTTTGCATGGCCACTAAGTGCCATGCGCTGTGCCAGGTGCCGGGGAGGAGGATGTGGGCCTTGCTGTTCGCTCACGTGAGAGCACGATGGACCAGTTGGGCTCACGGAGGCCTGCTCAGGGCCACCCTGGGAGGCTCCAGCCACCCCCTCCCCCTAACATACAGGGTGTCTCCTGACCTGAGTTTGGCAACACGTCCCTCAAAGTGGGCGCCGTGCGCTTACCCATCTAGATGCTTTTCTTTCCCTGTTTCAGAACATCAGGGCGAGCCAAAGAGCGCAGCCTTCCCGGGGACACTCCCGAGTGATTTTTTATGTGACCTAAAGGTCTCTCTGGACAATTGCCAGTTACTGGGGGAGGGGATGGACCCCCGAGAAGTGTCCTCCTTCCCTCCTCCAGGAGCGAGCTCCTTGGGCAGGAAGTCTGGCCAAGGGCCTGTTGACAGGAGCCCCAGGAGGCTGTCAGGGCGGGGTCCCTTGGTCCCCTGATGCTGTCACCCACCCCCTGGCATTTCATGTTTCCAGATTGTCATTATTAAGAGGAGTCCCTTCGGAGAACCCACCAGCCTCCCTGGGTGTTTGGAAATGAAGACCGCTCACCGTCACATCTCAGGTCCCCCGAGTGCTGGGCTTTCCTTAATTTGCTTTTTATCCTTGTCACTGGTTCAACAAACAATTCCCTCAAATAAAGAAAACCTTGCTAAATTTCCTCTTGGCTCCATTGACACAGACGCGGAGAGACAGGCAGGGAGTGTGTGTGCATACAGACGTGAGTGTGCGTGGGGGGACGACTCCCCTCGCACACGCAGGCCACGCCAGCAGCAAGGGGGGGGATTCAGATTCCACGATCAGTCCCATCCCCCATCATTGGTGTAAGAACTCAAACCACCTTTGCCCCGAAAACCTCTCGGAGTCGCATCTGATTTCAGATTGCAATTACTAAATCGCTTCACTTTTACCACGTGCAGCCCAGGCCACGGCTTTTGCACGGAGTGCAGGGGACCCGCCATCTAGCCTCCCGTGGGTGGGGCGGGCCGGGCCGGCTCCAGGGCCTCCACCGAGGCCAGGCCAGCCCGTGGGAGGGTCTTGGCACAAAACCCCCGCGAAGGGGTGCTGGCATTCTTCCGTCAGGGCTGGGGGTGCAGGGGGAGGAGCCAGGCCAGACTTTCTGTGGCTTCTCCCTCCTTCCTGACACCACCTCCAGCCTGAGCCCCCTGGCTTAGCCAGGGTGTCACCCAATGGCCCACCTGCCACCTTGAAAACCCAAGGGCTCCCCTGCCAGGGTGGGGAGTTGCCAACTGGCTCTGCATTCGATTCCGAAGTGCATCCTTCAAGGAAGGACTCGGCCCACATCGGCTCTCAGGACTCTTGTTTTGAGTCAAGTCACTGTCGTGTCTTTGTCTGGCTCACAACACACTCATAAGCTCAATGAAACGAGGGCTCTCGTTGGACTCGGGGTCTCCGAGGCCGGACAGACGGCCAGTGGAGACGGACTCTGGCCCCCGTGATGCTATTCTCCACAGAGCATCCTGTCCCTGGCCGTGTAGTTCCCAGTGAGCGCGGCCCGTGGAGAGGGTCTTTGACACACACCTTCCGGGACACGTGACTTGTTCGTCCCAACACCCCTGGACTGAGAGTTTGGAGGAACCCCAGGACGGGTGCCACAGCCGTCCTGCATGCTGGGCTGCGTGGAAACTCCTGGTTTCGTGGCCTCTTTGGGCATATTCTGGTCCGCGGGCCCTGCCTTCAGGCTGTGGGGGCCCTGGGCAGGGGTCTCCCCGGTACGGTGCGCCCTAGCTTCTGAGTCGATCCTACGTTGCCTTCCTGATAAATGAGGGAGGAATCTTGAGGAGCTGCAAGGCCTTCCCCACGGCCCGGGGGCTCAGCAGATCTACTCCATTTCAGATACTCTGTCCCCTGCTCACTCCACCACCGCTGCTTACAGGTCACTGTGTGGCCCCCATCGCGGCTGGGATCGTACTGCCCCCCACGTCCTCCTCTTCCATTCATGGGCCATCCGAGGGTCCTCATTGCCCCTGGAGCAACAGCTGGTGACATTCAAACCCACCACATCAGGAAAAACAACCTTCCATCCTCTTCCCACAATAAAGTAATTCCTTGGTGCCCTCTGGGGTGTCTACTTCCCTGTCCCTCTGTTTGATCTCCTCCAGTGGGCACCCCCCCCCGGTGGGGAGCAGGGAGGCTGGTGCAGAGGGTCCAGCAGGAGAAGGCAAAGGCCAGCTCTGCCCCTCAATCCCACCGTCCTGGCCTCCTGGCTCCTCGGGATCAGACGGGCCCTTGTCTGGATGGTTCAGGACAAGGGACCGGCCAGCGTTTCGGCAGAGAAAACAACAGGACATGTCACAGTGCACGTGTGGGTTGACATCCCAGGGTGACCTCAGGGAGGTTCTCTGATCTCTCAGACTTTCAGCCTTTCTGTTTGTAAAATATAGGTACTAATTACATCCCTAGCCGTGTTGTCCTGGGACTGAAAGCTGATCTTCATCCTCCGGGAGAGTCTGGACAGAGGTGACTCTCTGCTGTCTTGTGCTAACAAGACCAAGCGGGGTCGTGTCAAAAAGCCCCCTCCGTGGTGCGGAGCAGCCTGGCTGCGTCCAGAGTGTGAGCGGAGCCTGACGAGCACGTGCTTACTCCTTATACGCCCGACACCCTGTATACTGAACACGGGGACACTCAATCCTCCACTCAAGGTAGTTATGTTCTATAAAGTCATTGGCACTGAATCAGCAAACCCTGAGCCATTGAGGCTGGGAGAAACACACGGTCAGGTGCCCGAGTGCCTCCTACCAAATATTCAATGTTCAATACATGACCTTGGGGGCACCTGGGGGGCTCAGTGGGTGAAGCAACTGCCTTCGGCTCAGGTCATGACCTCAGGGTCCTGGGATGGAGCCCAGCATCGGGGCTCCCTGCTCTGGAGGGAGCCTGCTTCTCCCTCTGCCTATGTCTCTGCCTCTCTCTCTTGGTCTCCCATGAATAAATAAACAAAATCTTTAAAAAAAAAAATTCTAGCGCGGATTTAGGTGGATTTGCAAATAGGGATCCACGAGTAATGAGGATCGGTTGTATATTCATCGTAGGTGTTGCGTATTCATTAATGTGTTTTGGAGACAGTGTGATACATACACACAAATACCCCCAGCTGTCGCTTTGGGGTCCAGGGGCCCAGCCCCTCTGAGCGACCACAGCACAATCTGAACCTCCGCGGGTCACCTGGAGCCGGGGTGTTGCCGTAAGAGCATATGCATCGGATCTCCAAAATACAGACACTGCGCTTACGTTCTAGATCTCTGCACGGAGCTCACTTCCCAGCTGTGTGACCTTGAGCAGGTTACTTATATGTTCTGTGCCTAATTTTACCCATGTGCGAAGTGGGGGTATTCACAGCATCGTTTCTTTAGAGGCCCGTCGTGGGTATTCAATGAGTTAATTAATGAGACGGGCCGTCGACAGGGTCAGGCACACAGCGGGTGCTTGGTGAGCATGCAGCCAGTGCTCCCGGGGACATGGAAGTGTCCCCGCCGTCTCACGACACAGTTCTCAGACCCTCCAGGATCCTAGCTGCTGATGCAGGAAGGCCAGGCCCTGCCGAGTCCCCTCCCCAGGGCTCCTCCTCTGACTCTGGCTGCGGCGCGGTGGTCCCAGTGGGCTGTGCTCCTGTCTCGGGCTGGCAGGCTGCTGCTGCCACCTCCTCAGGAAGGCCCTGGCCAGAAGCGTCCTAGTGAAAGGGGACTGTGTCAGCCCACCGTCCTCCCCTTTGCACAGCCACCTGCCCCTTGCCCAAGGCTTGTCTGCATCAGTGTGAAGAGTTGTGGGAGGCTTCCGGGGCACTCCGGGGACTTTCCTGAGCGTGCCTGAGCCCAGATGGACTGTGGTCCACAGCCCCTGAAGGAGCCTGATCCCTGCTCCGGCCCAGCCAGGCTCCCTGGGCAGCTCAGACACGGGTGTGCTGACACCAGGGCTCCCGGGCCGGGCCGGGTGACCAGCTTTCCACAAGGTCCCGTGGTGGCCTGTAATCCAAAGACAGCACAGAGTTCCCTAAGTGCTCCACCTTCATCTGATTCAGTGAGAAATGTGGCTTCGAGGGAAGCACCAACGGTTCTGTACGTCCTTCTGGGCCAGGTGGCTAAGGGGTGTGAGCACCTGCCCCGAGGATGCCCGGCCCTCCCGCGCCCTCTGCTGGCGGTCTGGGCGCAGCCTTGCCCAGCCTTCACCTGCCGGGCGCCCGGGGTGTCGGTGGGTGCCCCCCAGGGCAGCAGGGACGCAGTGCCTGACTCTACTTAGCCCCCTCAGCCCTCCAAAGTCAACAGAGTCAGTTCAACAACGATTGCAAGTTACTAAACTTATCACCGGAATCAGACGGGGCCAGATGCACCGACGCGGGCTTGTCGCGACGTGGACACTTTGCATTCAGCGATGCAGCTCCCTTGTGGCTAGAAGACAGCGTGTGCCTCACGTGGCCTTTCTTCTGTGTGCAAACAGAGGTGGGGGGAGAGGGAGGGAAGGAAGAAGAGGGCAGGGAGAGGGGGGCAGGACAGAGATCCACTCTCTCCTATTGACAGTAATCCCATCAGATCAGGGTCCTACATGTATGACCTTATTTAAGCTTAATTACACCTGTAGAGGGATCCCTGGGTGGCACAGCGGTTTGGCGCCTGCCTTTGGCCCAGGGCGCGATCCTGGAGACCCGGGATCGAATCCCACGTCGGGCTCCCGGTGCATGGAGCCTGCTTCTCCCTCTGCCTGTGTCTCTGCCTCTCTCTCTCTCTCTCTCTGTGACTATCATAAATAAATAAAAAAAAATTACACCTGTAGAGGCCCCCCCTCATGCCCCCACCCACCTGCCCCCTGCACCCCCCACCCCCTGCACGCCCCACCCCTCCACCCCGTCTCCAAATACCATCAACCCGAGGGTCATGGCTTCTGCATGTGGACTCGGGGGTCGTACCTCAGCATCAGGAATCAGCTCACCACCTTTGCACACTAACTAGTAACACTGGTAATGGTCACAGTTAAAATCTTGAAGGTTTTTAATTTTTTTTAACTTAGCTCTATTGAGGTAAAATTCAATATAATAAAATTTTCCTGCTTTAAGTGCATTGGTTCGTTGAGTCTTGAGAAAAGTCTGCAGTCACGGAAACAGGACCCCAAGGAAGAAGCAGACCTTCTGTCCTGCCACCAGCGCCCTCCTCCCACCTCCAGCCCCCAGAGCCCGGTGATCCGCTTTCTGTCACTACAGTTTATGACTCTTCCGGAATTTCATGCCAGTTAATCCAACAGCGTGGGCCTGGCTTCTTTCACTCAGCACCGGGCTCCCGAGATGCACCAGGTCTGTGCGTGCAAGGGGGGCTCCCCTGCATCCTTGACCGCCCCGCCCCTCCCCTGCACCTGCACCCTCTCTGTCCCCCCATCCCCCCCGTATCCCCCCTGCACCTGTACCCCCTCTCTCCCCCTCCTCCATGCAGGAACATCTGACACCCACAAGGCCCACCAGCTGATGGACGGCCCGCCAGGTTCCCAGTTGTTTGGTGTGAACCAAGTCGTGATGAATAATTACGTATTCATAATATGTATAATACCCTAATACGAATAATTACCCAGGTCTTCGGGTAAATATCTTCCCTCACCGTAAAGGTCGGTGGGTGAGATGTCTGGGTGCATGGAGGTGTCATGCTTCACTCTGTAAGAATCTGACAAACCGTTCTCCAGAATAATCCTCCCGTGTTGCCTCCCCAGCAACATACGAGGATGAGGATTGCAGGTGTTTTGTATCCCCTCCTGCCCTCGGTATCATTTGTTTTTCTTTTCTTTTCTTTTTAAAGATTTTATTCATGAGAGACACACAGAGAGGCAGAGCCACAGGCAGAGGGAGGAGCAGGCTCCGTACAGGGACCCCGACTTGGGACTGGATCCCGGGTCTGCAGGATCAGGCCGTGGGCTGAAGGTGGCGCTAAACCACTGAGCTACCCGGGCTGCCTTCATTTGTTTTGTTTTGTTTTGTTTTTTTAATAAATTAATTTTTATTGGTGTTCAATTTACCAACATACAGAATAACACCCAGTGCTCATCCCGTCAAGTGTCCCCCTCCGTGCCCGTCACCCATTCACCCCCACCCCCGCCCTCCTCCCCTTCCACCACCCCTAGCTCATTTCCCAGAGTTAGGAGTCTTCATGTTCTGTCTCCCTTTCTGATATTTCCCACA